TAAGATTTTAAGAAATATGAATTGAAATAAGGATATTTATTCTGGTCATTATAAGCATTGTTCAACATGACGAGAGATTAAAACAGAGGTTGCAAGGTGAAATTTTTATTGAGGATAAAAATTTCGTTAAGGGGGAAGGATTGAAGCCTTTGACGCATTTTAAGAGAATTACAAATACTTGGATGAATGAAAAATATAATTTTTATGAATATTCATTGATGACACACACATATATGTCCAGCGAAGAAAAGACATGCACACCAGTGGATGTTTAATGTAAACCATATTGAAACGATTGACCAAAGAAGGAAATGTATACGTTAGAACAAACACCGAGATGCATTTTAAGTTGCTGTGTAAATCAGCAGTCGGTTTTATCTACATAAACAGACATGACCACAGCAGAGAGAAAGGCTGCAGAAAATTTATATTATCGACGCTAACTAGAGGAAATGGATTTTATAAAAAGCTTAATGGCGGAACTTTGATCAGAAGGAAGACGAGGAGAAATGCATGCAAATAAGCTGCCGATTGACCATGACCAATTAACAGAAAGTTTTGGTTTTGGATTGAAAAACATTGGAGTTGACTAATGGGACAAAAGAATTACTTGCAAAAAACGAACATGTAGAGCTAGTTGAATCATCGTAAAAAAACACATGAAAGTGTAAATAAAAAGTCACGTTTTCACATCAGTCAGTTTTTCGATGAAGATTCCATGTCTCCAGAATCTACAACAGTCAGCAGAATGGCAGTCCTTCAATCCATTGAGAATTTGCAGCTTACAGCTTCTATGTAAATAATTATTGCCACCCTCTAGTCGAATAGCATAGTTAGGAATTGATGTAAAATGTTAAGGAGAACTCATAAATTAAATTATGTCTGAGCGTATGTCACATAATATTATAATTGATAATTATTTGTTGTAGCAAGAGATTTTATGAGTATTATTGAAGGTTTAATTAATGAACAATTACACATGCAGAAAGAAGAGTTTGATGTTTTTAATTTAGAAACTTTTCAAGATACGGTTGGTAATTTTGATGTAAACGAGTAATTGAATATTTAGAATTAAAGTATTATATATATTTTTTGAATCTCAGTCTTCTAGTCAATTCTTTATTCTAACCATAAACTTCCTCGAGCTCGTGACTTATGTACTCTACTCGTTACTACATACTTGTATTTAAATAAATGCCCCCCAGTGGCACAGCGGGATGTCTGCGGACTTACAACGCTAGAAACCGGGTTTCGATAACCGTGGTGGGCAGAGCACAGATAGCCCTTGTGTAGCTTTGTGCATAATTAAAAACAAACAATTTAAATAAATCTTTGGAACTGGTGTTTAACTTGAACTCCAGACCACTAGCCTACATGGCCTCCCATTACAATGCATTCAATAATGGCTGGAGACGGCTTAAATGGGTAATGAAGAAAAACTTTAATACAAGTTTAACATGACAGCAAAT